CAGGTTGGATGGAGCTCTGAGCACCCTGGGCTGGTGGAAGATGTCCCTGCTCATGGCAGGGGGGTTGGAACCGGATGAGCTTTCAGGTCCCTTCCAACCCAAACCATTCTGTGATTCTGTTCTATGATTCCATCTGTGCTCCCTCCTTGCCCTCTGCTAGGAGCTGCCGCCTGACCATTCTCCTGAACAGATCCTCTCTCTGCTTGGTAAACGGTCACTTTCAAAGCATCTGGTGTGAACTGGCGCAGGTCCGCTGACAGCGGTGTTGTCCCTTGTGGGTTCTGCTCCGTAGTTTGAATTACTCACTTGTCTCCTGATGCCAGGAGCGTGCGAGCTTAAATGGGCTTAAAGCAGTAAATCTGGCAGGAATAACCTACCTGCCTACGGCGTTAAACCTTCCACCCTTTGACAGGAGAGCACCTGCCAGTGTGAAACTTAATGGGAGAATTGTTTCCTCGACATTTCAAGAAGAAAAATTCTAGCGCTGAATGGTGGCTTCTCTGTTGTCACATAGTTTTTTCAGCAACCATTTCATCTGAGGGCAGTCTCAGTCATTACTTTAAAGTAGCTGTGCTTTTTTTGGTGTAGCTTCGGTCCTTGCTTGTTCCTGACAGTAGATTTTGAGGAAGTGAAACAGAATTGTACCACTTAGCCCAGCCTCTTCATCTAAAAGTTCTGCTTATTCAAAATTAAATGGCTAATTAGTATAGAGCTGCTTAATGTGCATCAGTTTGTTTATCTCTAAAGTGATGGTAAACACTGTACATTTTATATAACTTATTAATGGTGTTCCTTATCTGCAAAGCCCACATGAAGTACGGTGAATTAACTCGTTTCTCCTTGTAGTGCGAGGCTGGCCTCTCTCTTTGGTCTGGATCAAACGGTCTCAAGCCACGGAAATGAATTTTTCCAGTACACTGCACCAAAGCAGCCAAAGAAGGGTCAGGCGGCAGCTGGTGAGTAACTGGGCTTGAGCGTGGGGAAAAAACTTTGTGGCATGTGTCTTGCCGGGACAATGAGGGTCTTTGTGAAGAACAGCAGTGCAAGTAATTCACGTAGCTTTTCTTTAATGATGTTCTCTTCCTTTAGCACCCTCTCTACAGCTGGCTACTCTAGAGGCCTTTAGTGACTTTGGAACATCACTCTGTCTTTTAATCCTTTTCTGGAGGTATTTTTCCTTGGGGGAAGGAATGTGTCGTGGCATTGTCACTGGCCAGCAAACGTGGCAGTTCCGTATCGCTGATGAGTGTTCCTGTTTTTTGTTCTGCAGCAGGTCAGGCAGCCCAGAAGGCTCCTGCGGCCCCAGCAGCTTCGGGAGCGCCATCAGTGTTCACGGCCACTGCGGTTCATGCTTATCGATAGTAAGTGCAGCAGTGGTTGACCTGTTGAGTCTGTGTCTCTGGGAGCTTAAGACCTAATCACAGAGGGAAGATATTTTTGTATGGATGGGAAGAGACCATTGCTCACAGACTTTTGTCTGCATGATACAAATGCTACAAGTCCATGCAAGTTTCTGCTCCAAAAAAGTTTTGGCTATTGTGGTGCAGTTCGCGGTTACGCAGTTGTCAAATAAATAGCAAGTTCTGGATTTGGCCGTTACAGGGAGCTGCTTCCTGGGGTGCTGGCCTGACATTTGCACTTTCTCTGGGCAGCTCTGTCAGACTGTTATGTCTCATATGTTCCCTTGTGGAGAACTGAGGCATGGGCGTAGAGTGACAGCAGTAAAATTCCCTGTCCGTTTGACACTGCTGTCATGTAAAAACTCATTTGCCCTGGATCGGTGAAAAGAGTAGTTTTCAACTCGAACTCCGTGATATATGCTTCCATAATCTGTGAGCAAGCAAGAAGGTTGCAGTGTCTTTAAGCCAAGAAACACTGCCTAACCTTTTAGGCATGGGTAAGGGGACCGGAACTCTGAAGGAGAAAAGCTCAGCAACAGTAGAGAGAAATCTGAGGCAGGGACGGTTCTGCAGCTGAATATCTCGCTTGTCTTCCAGTACGAATGGGCAGTACTTGAAGCAAGGCAAGTACGGAGCAGCTGTAGTGGGGAACCATGCCACTAAGGAGGTGAGAAACACTTCACTACTTCAACATTTTCATGCCAAGAGTGTGCTGGTGTGAGGCAGTGTTTCTCTGAACTCACTGGAATGGCTTTGCTTTTGGTGTTGGAGGTCTTATTTCCACTGCTGTTTATGCCTTCCTGCCCTCCTGGGTTTACTTCTGGCTCGGCCATTGACCTTGGTGACATCTTTCTTTTCTACAATCCCTGAGTTTGTAAGACCTTTACAACTTGCGCCTGAAATGTTTTGCAGTGTTTCAGGCACTGTACCTTTTCTAACATTTCTAGAAGTGATTTTGATACTTCTTCAGGATGCGTTTGACAACTGGATCACAAATTTGTGCATGTGGAAATCAATATAAAGCAAAGTTCTGTCCAGTAGTACAGAGATGCTTTGCTTAAGTTTTGTTATATTGGTATCAAAAGTATCCCTCCTTCCTACAGACTCCTCTGAGAACATGACACTGAGGTGCCCAGTAAATTGATGTGTTTAAAACATGCTTTGAATACTCTGATCTGTCCTTGATGTTGATATCTGTGGTTGTTCATATCCCCCAATTCTTAATTTATGTTGTCTCACTAAGTTGCTTCTGCTTTGGCAAGAACAAGAAAAAAATAGTAGTTTAGTAAACTAATTCCTAAGCCACTGATCTGAGAAGGGTTCAGGTGTGGCGTTTGTGGGGGAGCTGGGAAGGCCGCGGCTTGTGGGAGGAAGCTGACGCAGCCTTCCTAGGGCTGCCTCTGTAACGCCGCAGCCCGCACGGCTGGGAGCAGCTGCCGAGTACTCCCAGTTCACTACCTAGCCGTGCTGAGCGAAGAAGCCATGGCTGTGCATGCAGAAAGGAAAGCACTTTTCCTTACTAGATCACGTCTAGTGGAGCCAAGTATGTGAATACAATGTTCTATCTGCATCGTTTAGTTCTTGGAAAGCTCCCTCCAACTTATTATTGCCCAGTCTTTTACATTGTTTTATGTCTGTATGTCATGTATTATGAGTTTTGTGTATCGAAGGGTTAGTGCACCATCTTTTTACACAGTCCCAGTGAAAAATGTGGAATTAGTTAAAACATCTTGCTTAATACAAAATAGTTTGAACTGCGTGATTCCTGTAGCTAAATAAAGCTTGCATATTTTCAAGGGTTTTTAATAAGTGTTACAAAATTGTGTTCAGTACAGTGTTAGGTATTTTTGCTGTGAAAAATGCTGCTGCAAGGTGTATTTGCCGAATAAATACTGTAGCCTTGGGCTCAGAATTTGACAAAGTACATCAGAATTAAAGTCATTTTGAGTTTCTGCCTTTTGTTCTTTTTCCCTGCTCAATTCCTTGTGGAATCCAGTACAGGATCCTCCTTTACATCAGTCAGCAGCAACAGATTGCAACTGCAAGGATCCACCCAGGCTTTGTACTCACGGTAAGACTCTGGGTTAGAAAAGCATGCGATGATCTGTATTGTCCACAGCAAACAGAAGTTAACTCTGAAACGTTTACTTACGTCTTGGATGATAGCGTTTGAGATCAACCATCTGACTGACACAGCAAGAGGTGTCGCAGTGACTGGGAGCGCTGTGCTGCTCCTCCTAATGCATGTTGCACAAGAGACTGGTACATCGGCCTCTGGCAGAGCGTGTCGTCAGTGGGTTTCATACTCTGCAAGCTCACCTGCTGTAGGAGGGGTGTCATTGCCTCCAGATCGCTGGGGAGATGTTTGGAGTTTTGCAGTCCTCCAGTGGGTAGAAACAGAACAGAATTCCTCTTGCTAATAATCTGTAGTTAAATGACTGAGAGAATACGACTGAGCAAGCAGAAGGAAACGATAGCAAGGAAATGTTTTCCCTCAGAAATTTGACACGCAGCATTTTCCTGCGGATAAGAACAATTTGGAGCATTGTAAGTGCTAAAATGGGATCTCTCAGGAAGTTCTGTTTTCTGCCAATTTTACAGAAAATTGGTGTGTTGATTTTCTGCTTTTAGCTTGTTATCAGGTGACATAAAACTTCTTGAATTGGTAGGTAGAAATTCTACTCTGAAACGGCAGAATTTCAGTCCAAATTTCTGACCGGGGTGCTAGCTTTCTCTTCTGTTTTTTTAAGTGCATTTTGAAAGACTAATGGATTGTGTACTCAGCTAGTGGTGACATGGATTTTTAGAAGTGAGGAAGAGAAGTCTCCTCCAATCGATCTGGAAATCTGTATATACTCAGTACTTATGTACAGGAGATTACTTGCACTTAAAATCTCGGTATGTATTATAGAACATAGCTGTGAAAGCTTTCGCCATCTTGAGAGCTGCGGCATCTATGCAGAACTTAATATTTGCTCAGGTATTTGAATTATAATAATTCTTACATGATAATGAGCATATCAATAAAAGCTAATTTGTGCATTCTGAACTGAGGTAGTGATACAGCAGGATTCTTCCCCTGCCGCTGCTTAATTTCAGTAGCTCTTATTTTAAGCTTCTTTTGGATATGGATTTTTTTTTTTTATTTTAATTGAATGTACCTTTTAATGTATAATATAGGACTGATTTCCTTTCCCACAGGTTCAACCCAACAATTACAGTACGTTCTATGATGATCAAAGACAAAACTGGTCCATCATGTTTGAGTCAGAGAAGGCAGCAATGGACTTCAGTAAACAGGTAACTGCTTACTCTGTGTGAGGTATGTCTTGGTGGCTTGTTTAGAACAACAGGCAAATCAAGATGGGTCTCTCAGAGCACATATTGCTGAAAGGTTGTAAGTCAGAGTCGTACTTGTTCATTAAAGTTCAGCTTTGAGTATCTGCGTGACTGTGATTGAGGCATGTCTGTGATAGCCTGGCCAAATCTTGTTCATTAGATGCAGCCTCTTTGAGGCAGGGGGCCTGTTACTTCTGATGGGCTTTTGCATCGATGTTCTCAAGTACGTAAGACCAACAGTTCTGTAAAGCAGAAGGTATATAGCTCAGCAAAAATCAGCAGAAGGAAACACAGAACACCTCTTAAGTGCATCTATAAACTGGGCTTGATCAGTGTGGTAAGAAATGAATCAGATCTGTGATGAAGCATAGTGGAACTTGCCACTCTGAATGGCCAGAGGCGTTGATAGGCTTTCTTCTGCAGGTATGCATTGCCAAATGCAACAGCTCCCCAGCGCTCGATTCGGTCCTCTGCCAGGATCTCGTTCTTGGAGAAGGGCAGGGAGTAGAAGGAGGAGACTCTCTGGAGATTGCCTATACGGGCTGGCTGTTCCAGAACAACGGGCTTGGACGGGTAAAGACATTTCTGCTACCTCCTAATACAAAGTGAGTGTGATAGTCCCTGGGGGGGACCTGCCACATCTAGCGTAGCGTTGGTGGTGTTAAAGGTATTTTTCAGTCGCTTAAGGCACCGTAAATGAGGTCGTATGTGTTACCTGTAGAATAATAAGGGATTCCATTACTGCTCAGGAGGAGGTGACTGAGGTGCTTTTAACTTTCATAGGCACTCTCACACATAAATATTAAAGAAAATGGTGAGAAGGAACAATGAAGCTAGCTGTGCACCTTTGGACAAAGCTTGAGGAAGTGATAAGAAGGACCGTGTCTGACACAAAGCACATCTCCAAATGTTAACAGAGTGAGATTGCTGTTACATCCTCTACAGCTGTGTCCAATCCAGTTAGCTAATAAGCTAAATAAATGCTTTGATGTTTCAAAGCATTACCTTTGAAACACTTCTGCTCTTTTTCCTGATAGTGAAATTCGTGACAAAGGGTTTTGCATTTGCATCCATCTGTAGCTGCATCTTTTTGCTATAAAAAGGACTGTTTTTCATGTTTAGGGGATGTTTTGCTTTTCTTGGTCTGCCTGGCATGCTTCTCTCTATGTACTGTTGGTACAGAGCAGAACTTACTTCTGATCTCCTGAAAGAGGTGTTCAGCTGCGTACGTCTTAGTTTAATGTACGAAACTCATAGGCAGCTGTTTGCTGCTTGATATAAGCCTGTTGTGTAGTGGTTTACTTGGCCCAATCCTGTCCTGACCGTCAAGCTCAAAGCAGTTTTAAAGTCTGAGTCGCCAGCTATCATTCATGTTAAGAAATTGTACCGTGCAGTGGACTAGAAGCTGTAGCTTGGAAGCCGCAGGAGGGGAAATAAGGTGTAAAATATTATAAGAGTTTATGGAATGTGTAAAGTAGCGTTCAGAATCTTGAAACAGTGGGGAAATCCGTGTATTTTGTGTTTTTGTTCTCAACTCCAGGTGTTTGACTCAAATCTTAACAAAGACAAGCTGTTGCGGCTAAAGCTGGGATCTGGAAAGGTCATCAAGGTAGAACTTCTGGCACTTTCGTTATGATAATTGATGTCTCAGAACTTTGAATTACTGAAGTATTCAGGATTCATATGCACTATTTCTGTTATATGTTTCATTTGATAGAAAACACTGTAACAGTGAGTCACTCAAACTTGATTTTCTTTGTAATTTGCCCAGTATAGCCAAGTCTCCATCTCAATGGCTGTGTTAGAAAGAAGTTGTCCTGTTTGGTAAAAAGGAAGCTTCCTGTTTTCAACAGCTAGGATTTTGGGGCTGTTTTGTCATTGTTTTTCTGGAAGTCACTTAATCCATTACCTTGTTCTCAGAGAACCGTAGCTCTGAAGAAAGACTTCAATTTGAGAAGAACTCCAGGTTCCTCCCCACTCATTGTGCCTCAGAAGCAGAGCATCTGATAGCTCTGATACAACACCTGGGAGAAGGCTGTGGGAGGGTGAAGACAACTGACAAATTTTAGGATGGTCTAATAAAAGATGCTGTCTAGAGTGGTTTTACCCTCTGAAGTCAAATTGTGAAGGTTTTGACTGTAATAATTTTTCCATCTGGGTGGTGTGGTGCTCCCTTATATTATTCCATAAAATCAGGCTGTGAATCAGAGATGCTTTTGTTCAGGCCACTTCCATTACCTGAGTGATTCATATATGACCTGTTAGGAGTTATTCTTTACTGGAGGTCTAGTATTTTTCTACGTTATTTTTTTTAACATGTATCTATTAATGTTGCCTGGGTGTAGTAGACATCCTGTTAAATACTGCCGCCTGTTTGACAGTTTACATTGCTCCAATTTCTAAATCTAAATTTCTAAACCCACTGTTTTCTGTGGGTGCTTTGTAAAGCTAACCGTAGCAATTCAGAAGTGATCTCTCAATGAGTCCTGTTCTTTCCCAGAATGCTGAGAGAGGTCACCACTGTGTGCCCTGCAGGCCACCTGCAACTGCAGAATTTGTGCACGCAGCACAGCATGCAGTTCTTTTTTCCAGGATACCAGTGTGATCTGTGATAGCTGCTGAAGTTACAATATCTAAAACTTGAACCAGGTGTCTGTAACCATACAGAGACCTGGGAGCCTCCAGCCTTCGTGCTAGAGATTGCTGTATCTATTTACATTATGAACCTGTCGAGAGCTGCATCTTTACTGTTAATGTTGCAATTTAGAATTGGCCATTATGACTTGTTATAAGACAAAGGTATAGTGTTGCAGACTGAAAATTAATAGGGTTTTCCAAGAATCACTCTATACGTGTTCTGGAATCTTCCATAACTGGTGCCTGAAGCAGTCTTAATCAGTGTAATTAAAAGAAGCTGTAATGTCACTGATCAAACTGTTTGCTTTCTCTTTTGTTGCGTTTCTGAAAACCCAAGGGCTGGGAAGAAGGAATGGTGGGGATGAAGAAAGGAGGTCGAAGGTATCTCATTATTCCTCCAGCATGGGCCTATGGGGCTCAGGGAGTGGCTGGCCGTGTCCCTCCAGACTCGACTCTAGTTTTTGAGGTGGAAGTTAAGCGGGTGAGTGTCTCCTGCCATGCAGTTATTTTACATCTGCTTTGTGGCTGTTGGGTGGCAGCGTTTGTCTGCAAGGTGCAAACCTGCTGTTGGCATGAGAACTACAGCTCAAACTGTTATAAACCAAACACCTCAGAAGATATGTATCTTTAATAAAAAAAGCAAAACCCACAAAACCCTAAACCCAGAAAATCCCTCTAGGCTGTTTACGAAGATGTATCATTTCTAACTGTCTTGGGATCTTTTCATTGTCTTATTTCTGAATCACTTGGGAAAACAAAATACTCATAGTGAGTAATGACAGGTTCTAAAGACTCAGCTTCTCCAGTTCTGAATCAGTTGTATGCTGTTAATTGAAGTGCATGAGCTTGACAATAGGAGTAGTCATCAAAAGTAACCAAGCTGCTGAACACTTTTTTGGGAACCCAGAAAAATCTGGTTTTTATTACATGTTTTTTAAGGTGAAGTTGGTAAAGGAATGCTCTGGCTCAGATGGACAGAGTGTTAGTTCAAGGGATTCTCCTGCACCTTCTCCAGTACCCAATTCAGATGGCTTCTCTGCAGACACTGGTTTATTGCCTCCATCTACGATACCTCCAAAGCCTGGGTAAGAAGCAGCACAGATAAAACAACTTACTGTATTAAAAGATGGCAGTGGTCATAAACATCTGGCACAATGCTGCAGTAGCCCATCATTTGGCAAACATGGGTCCTCTGTGCCAGCTTAGTGCCATCAGTGTGGCAGAGGAATGCTTGCTAACAAGACTGGCTGGAAACTTTCTGCTTGAATGCCGACTTTCAGATTTAAAGAAATTGAAACGGGGTGCAGGTGAAAGAAGTCATTCCTCTACAGCCTTACTGAGATCTAGCGTGACGAAGCTGTATGGGGACTGCTGCAGCAGCTTCCTCTTCTCACAGAATAACAGAATCACAGAAAGGTAGGGGTTGAAATGGACCTCTGTGGGTCATCTAGTCCAACCCTTCTGCCGAAGCAGGGTCACCTGCAGTAGGTTGTAGAGGACCTTGTCCAGGCGGGTCTGGAATATCTCCAGAGAAGGAGACTCCACAGCCTCCCTGGGCAGCCTGGGCCAGGGCTCCGTCACCCTCAGAGGGAAGAAGTTCTTCCTCATATTCAGACAGAACTTCCTGTGCTTCAGTTTGTGCCCATTGCCCCTTGTCCTGTCGCTGGGCACCACTGAAAAGAGCTTGGCCCCATCTTCCTGACACCCACCCTGCAGATATTTGTAAGCATTTATAAGGTCCCCTCGCAGCCTTCTCTTCTTCAGGCTGAACAAGCCCAGCTCCCTCAACCTCTCCTCGTAGGAGAGATGCTCCAGTCCCCTCACCTCACTTCTCAGTTGTCAGTATAGTCATAAGTTGGTCTTGGGTGGTGGCTGATTTGTTTAATTGCAAATTTTACATTGTCATTTATTGCTTAAATTAATTAAATGGATCAGTCATAATTTTTAGGGAGTTCAGTTTCATCCTTGTTAATCTCCGATATCAGCATACATCCCTTTGGCTTTTCAGGGAGCCAGCTGTTCGGGCCAAGTCAAACTCCATCAGTGAACAGCTAGCGGTAAGTGGTGGTGTTTTTTCTTGACTAATCTGAAACCTTAAGTAGGGAAGCTTGGTTGGTTTCATCTCTGCATTCATTGTTGCTGAAGAGAAAATTAACATCATGCAAGCAAGACACTCCCAAATGTTCACCTTCCATGAGGAACCTCGGTCCCAGTTCCTACTCTTGAATGCAAAGTTGCCTTGACCATGTGGATACTCACAAGGCTAGTTGTCTTCTCAGATAAATGAACAAATTTAAAATGGATAACAAAGAGTAATTGGGACATTCAGTAGAAGTTTATATAGCTACATGAGAAGACATTTTGTGAGTGCCTCGGGATGGAAAAAGCTACTAAGCAGCTTCCTGAGTTCATGCGTTTTCTTCTTGTTGCTGTGTTTTGTGCAAGGATAGATATTCTATGTAATGACAGCAGTGTCATCCCAGAAGGAGAGTATGTAAAGCAAGCCAGATTAACAAATCCACAGTGTTATCTTGTGTGCTTGAAAATTAGTTTTTCATACAGTCATTGAAGAATTGAAAGAACCAGAATTATGAAGACAGTGGCTTAGAAGAGTCTACTCCTGCTAGATGTCTCTGTAATGTCTGAAAAGCCTGGGCTGAGAGACAAAGGAAGAGTAACTGCAAACATTTCTTTTAGAATCCAGATGTAGCAAAGGCAAAGCTGATTTCTCGGATGGCTAAAATGGGACAGCCCATGCTTCCTTTCCTTGCTGGGACAACAGGTAGTCAGCTTGACTCCAGTGACTCGGAAATAGAGGTAAATCACCAATCTCATAAGAGTGACTTTTTCTGATGCTTTTTCTAGTGTGAATTCCTTAAAGCAGAGTCTGTAGCAATAGCTCTCCCTTTGTACAGGGAAAGCATGCTCTGTTTCTGTGCCAAAAGGGTTGAATGATTCCACTGTTCCTATCTAGTTCAGTTGGGTTAATTGGGTAACACCTAGTCTCAAGTGATCTCAGGTTCAAACTGTTCGCTCATTCTTTAGCATTCGTTGTAATACACAGAAATTTTTTTAGGATCCAAATACACTGAGAGGGACAGCGCAATCAGTGGCCTCATCTTCTATGAGACCGTCACAGCCAGCTCACGCAGTGCTGCCGACAGTGTCAGCACAAGGTAATGTGCTGGTAAGCCTGGGGTTGGTGTAGAGAAACCTCGCTTCTCTGCAGACTTCAAGTACCTGGGCTGTACAAATAGAGCATTCCTTTCAGGAACTGAAATAGGAACTTACAGATAGCTTCTAATAACGCTTGCTGATCCAGAGCTCCGTAGGTAGACTAATTCATAAAGCACAAGACTGAAGTCCTTGGAGTAAGTCGCCATTGTGATCTTGCGCACACCTTACTGCCTGAGGGAGAGCAACCACAGTCTGCTCTGTCATCGTGTGTGCTGGGGTGGCACGGAGATTTCTAGGCCATGTGATTTGTAAACGGAACTGTTACAAATGCTTTCCCAGAGAACAGAAATTGTTTTGTTTGAAAATGGTGGAAATGATAGCAAAGGGCACCAGAGGGCTAGCAGCTCTGGAGTAGGCTTAAGCTGTCTTCCCATGATGGAACAGCAGTGTCAGCTGCTGGTCAGCTGAGCTTTAGAGTCAGCCGGAGTGACATCTTGGGTCAGTAAACTTCAGAGCCACCTTTGTTTGAATGAAAAGAGGTTGTCTCTGTGTAGCTAGAAGTGAAATTTCTGTGGAAGATGACTCTTCTCTTGACCTTTTCTCACTTGTTTAGATGGATTGAATTTTCACAAGGCTGCAGACAGGCTTGTGTTCAATTTTTGTCTATTTAGTGACTTTTTTGGTCATTTCACACTGAGTAAGTTGAACTATTTTGAGCTACTTTATGGCGTACTGAGTTTCATTCTTCCCTTTCAGTACCTCAAGCGTCTGGTTCTACGCCCCCAGTATCTTCTGCTGCTTTAATACCTGCAACGATCCAGCCCCATTCAGCTCTGCCTGGAGGAGCACAGGGCTTTCAGGTACTAAAATGAAATCAAGGAGAATATTGGCACTTCTGTCCTTTCTCGTCTTACTCTTTTCTCCGTCACTGGGAGCAAGGACTCTACAGCAGCACGTAAGGATGAGAATCCCAGGCTGCTTCCTGTGACTATTCTTTGGCATTGTCAGGTTTCCATCACATGCCTCACAGAATTTAATCAAAAAGGGTTAATTTTCTGCCTGCTGATGGCAGCTTAAAGTTGAACTAAGAATGAACCAGACTTTGTTATTATCTGCTTTTCTAGTGGATAAAATAAAAACTTCCAAGTACTCATAGAGCAGGTGAAAACAGAAGCATTTTAGTTGAAGTTTTTCTCAGTCATGATCTGTTCTTCTGTGAGAGGTCATTTGCACACTTAACATGTCTGTGGGCCATGGTTTTTCATCCAGCAAAAGAAGAATCCTTTTAAAAGGCTTGTGATGCCGCTGCTGTTAAGTGATGCAATCTGCTTGCGAACAAGGAAACTTTTGGGGCTTAAAACACAATGTATTTGCCACATCAGGTAGTGGAGACTTAGTGCAAAGCTATCGTACAAACAATTCTATGAAGTCTAAAACCAAACTTACTACCTTATGGCTTCTGTAGGTATTTTCAGTTATTTTCTGGAGGGTTTGGACATCAAACAGTGGCTTATGCCACATAGAAACACTGTTTATTTTTAAAGGGTCCAGGCAGAGGAAGAAAATATTCGATAAGAAATACAAACATTATATATTAAAAAAACAAACAAAGAAACAAACAAAAAACACCACCACAAAAAAAAAAAAAACACCAAAAAAAGAAAGCAAAAAAAAAAACTGGTACATTGCTTTGGCTTTGCATTTTCCTCGTATTGAAAATGAGGAAGTTATGGCAAGTGACAGAATAAAAAAGATAGGCTTTTCTGTTTGATGAAATAGAAGCTAGTCATTAGAATGCAGTTTTAATCTGATCATGATTTGCATATATTGTTTTGAAAGTTTGACCCTGATGTCCTGAATTCTTCTAGAAACCTGACCGAAGTTGTAATGTTTTTTTCCTTGCCTGAGAGAGTAAATTAGTATGAGTGAGGTACTCCTAGCATTTAAGGCATTCTTCAGTCTGTTTAGCTGCTTCTGATGAGCACTGAGCAATAAAGTTGCAATCAAGTCAGTTGGGTTGTGTTTTCTGAGCCTTGCCTAGGAATAGCCTCGTGTGCAAATTAGCATGACTTCAGATTGCTGCACATCCAGTAACCTGCAGTTCGCATGCTGATCTTTGCCTCTCACAAACGTAGGGTAACATGCTTTTGCTTCAACTGCAGTGAAGAAAGTAACTTATTAAGCTGTGGTAACGCGAACACACTCCTCAGCCTTGAAAGAAGAGCGGCTTTGGTTTTTTCCCTTTACTATGACTGTTGTGTCATTTGACTTCCTGCTCCCTAATTCTGTTCTTTCTTTCCAAATATTGTCACTGCTCTGGGGCTTAAAAAACATGAAAATCACTTAAGTGTGAGTGGGGGGGAAGCACCAAAACGTATTCTGATCTCTTGAATTTGTTCCTCAAGGCGTATCCAGGCATGGCGTTTGCTTACCCCCAAACTGCTGCGTCTGCTTCTCAGCTCCAGCCTGTAGGACAGATGTATCCCGCACCTTACCAAGGTATGTTTAACAAAGTACGTGCTTTTCAGAAAGATGCAATACCTGCAGTAAACTGTTTATTATGATGATTGAGGTAGCAATGGTAGCATACACATACTCATCCTGTCAGTAAAGCCGTGCTGTTTCACAAATTCTTATTTTTTAATAACAAATAGGGGCAAACATTTCCCAATAAATATCCGTCTTTTTCTTATCTTAAGGAACTTTGTACAGTGTGAAAGGGGAGGGAATTTCTAGGTGTATTCCCAAGGCTGTGTGTTGCCAACAGTATTTTATAGCTGGTGCTTCCAGTTATAACTGTAATAGTCAGCAGCTATCCTGCCAGCCAGGGAAAGAACTGGAGTGTGCATACTGGGACGTTTACTAAGTGGGAGACTGTAGCCCCCCCCAGAAAAGGAGCAACCTAAGAAGGGCTAAAGGCATTTAAAGAACCATTTAGGTAATCCAGGTTGGAGAAAAATTGAGTATAGCTGAAACTTTCTTGGAGCACATTTTTTTCAGTTCAAGGCTTCAGAAGCCGTGCTTCATCCCTGTTGTTCCACTGTACCTCTGGGTGTACTGTTCTGGTGTGCCTGGGGGCTTCCTTCTTGTTGGCCTAAGAGCTGTCACGTGGCTCAAGAATTTCCTGTAGTCGTAAACCTGCCTATTTGTGTCATTGGGAAAATACCTGTAGTATTAGTTTTCCAGATACCATATCACTTTTATTTCTGGGAAGAGTGGCTGTCCAATCTGGCAGGCTTCAAACTGCTAAGCGTTGTTTTTGAGGTGTCTGTGTGCAGGCATTTTCCCCTTGTGACTATAGATGTCTCTCCTTTCCATTCAAGCACCCGGGGATGTTACTGCCTTTTTGATGACAGAAGCACGGCAGCATAACACTGAAATCCGAATGGCCGTCAGCAAAGTGGTAGATAAAATGGATCTTTTGGCTGCCAAGGTAATGTATGACACAGACAGGCTTGTTAACGACATTGCTATTTGTTCTCCAAACGTAGTCTGAGGAGTTATCTCTATTTAAATGCCTGCAAGAAGTTTGTAAGTGATATACCAACTTAGTGATATTTCTGATACTATCAGACCTTGAAGGGGTAGCAGTTCACATACTATGAAAAAGCTCAGACTAGGCTTGGGGGGAGAAGCTGTCTCTTATTGTCTGAAATATGATATAATGCATTGTATTTGGAGAGATTCAGTGCCCTTCAGGAGTTGATACAGTAGCATATAACCTACATCTGATAGATGGAACAGTGAAGTGGATCTTTGCAGATGTCTGACCCTTACCTACACCCATAAATTAATTTCATCTGGCTTAAGAATGGCTTATCCCTGCAGGTGGAGGAGTTGAAGAAACAAAATGCTGGTAACAGCTCACTACTGCCTGGTATCTCCTCTGTTACTATGGAAGCCTCCATGATCATGAGCAATATCCAAAGGATAATCCAGGTGAGTGTGGCCACCCTTATTTGACTACTTCCATAACGATCTGGAGTGCACAGTGTTATTCCTAATGAGGATAGCTGTACGGCCTTGGCCCAAATGTCCGTCCATCCATGCGTTCTATTTTTGTGGGGCCAAAACCAGCTGCCTAGGTAAGAGCATGAGTCATACAATGTTTTCCATCCCTCTGCCCCCGAAACAAGCTCTTCTCAGCAGTTTGTTGTTTGGGTACTTTCTGAGCCAGAGTTGATGTACTGGTATTTAATAGGCCTTGGCAAAAGGTTCATGTGAGAAATTCAGCCTCTGCTTAAACCCTTATGGACTTAACCCACAGCGTCCTGCAGAATGGAGTTTCACAGCTGAAACACTGCGTTGCAGGAACCACCTGCTTCTGTTTTGCACTACTTATAGAATCATAGAATGCTTTGGGTTGGAAGGACCTTTAGAGGCCATCTAGCCCAGCCCCCCTGCAGTGAGCAGGGACATCTTCAGCCAGACCAGGCTGCTCAGAGCCCTGTCCAACCCGGCCTGGAATGTTCCCAGGGATGGGGCATCTCCCACCTCTCTGGGCAGCCTGTGCCAGGGTTTCACCACCCTCAGTGTAAAGCATTTCTTCCTTATACCCAGTCTGAATCTCCCCTCTTTTAGTTCAAAGCCATTGCTGCTTTTCCTGTCACAACAGGCCCCGCTTAAAAATATTTTCCCCATCTTTCTCGTAAGCCCCCTTGAAGCTGCTCTCAATCCCCTCATCCTCCAGCCTATTATTATTATGCTTTGCAGTTTTTCTAGACAGCAGCCTTACAGTTCTTGGGGTTTGTGGGTGAAAAAGTCAACCAGACACAATAATCTCTAGAATGTGGTTTGGCAACTACTGTCCTGTACCAGGACTCCTGCTAAACCTAGCACAGCGCGTTCACATGAGCACAGGGTTGGTACGTCTCACCACTGCACTGCATCTGTACAAAACGAAGGTTTAGGTACTGCTGCAAGGAAGTACCAGTAAGGCGGATATTCATGCTGGGCTGTGCTTTAGGAGAATGAGAGACTGAAGCAAGAGATATTTGAGAAGAGCAGTCGGATTGAGGAGCAGAATGAGAAGATCAGTGAGCTGATTGAGCGGAATCAGAGGTAAGGAGTGGGGGAGGGGACAGCCTCTGCATCTGTGAAGACTTTACAGCTTACACTTGGTTAGGCATAACTAGGAGGGGTGTTCTTCAGGATAGAGGCGTGTTCTGAGAATTTTTTTTTAAGGCATTAAAAGTGGGGTTGCCCCGCTGCGGGGCCCATCTCCAAAACTGTGGTTTACAGTAAACATGAATGTGTAAAAGGGGAAAAATAACAACTCATGCTATCTTTGAGCATGCGTGCTCTGCTTCTGGGAGTTACTTTATTTTTGCTAACTTTTTAGTAATGTGGAAGACATTGTAGGGGTGTGGCATCCTTAGTTTCACTGTTGGGTGTGTGTTCCACTCAGCTTAAGAAGGAAAATAACTTGTTTAAGGAAATGGCAAAAGTTATCAAAACTGCTGGCTGTGCGATAGGAACATTAGTCTTGTTGCAGAGACGTAAAGCACTTACCCAGACTGATACAATCTCTGCTGTGCCTGGCACAGCCGTTCCACCCGTTTGAGGTCAGGCTCTTGGTGCAGGACATCACGCAAAGTTGTCGGGGACTTTTCGTCAAGAAAACTGCTTTGAAATGTCACCTTTTTGGAGCCTTTTGCTCCAGGTCGTGTATTTACATAAATGCTCATGCAGTCTTCCTCTGTTCACAGATACGTCGAACAAAGTAACTTGCTAATGGAGCAGAGGAACCATTCCCTGCAAACAACAAATGAAAACACACAGGCAAGAGTGCTGCATGCAGAACAGGAGAAGGTAATGGTGACAACGGGCAGAGCCGTGGGCCTCGGCTGCAGCCAGGGAAGGGCTGGTTGCTTTTTGTACTAAAACATGCTGAAGCCTTGTTAGTCAAGGCCGAAGTCTGTTCTCTTACAAGATGACTGCAGTTCTGAATTTACATTTTGAAGCTTTTTTGAGAAACAATTTGAGTATTTTTGTGACTTTCATAACAAAAGCAGCACAGAGGATATAAACTTGGATCTTCAGGCTGTCATAGCTTGAGTATTCTTATCTGACAGGAAAGTGTCTCGTTTATTGTTAACTCTGTAGGTATATGACCAACGTGTTGAGGAAATGTGTGTATCCAGGGCTTTGTTGGCTGAAAATGTGCTTTGTTTATTAGTTGCACTGACAGTTTCAGAAGGTTTTTTTTATTCTTCCTATTTAACTGACATACAGTGAATGTAGCTACAAAAAAATTATCCCCTACTAGAGTTTCTTCATTGCACTTCTTTACACTTTTTTTTTATACTAATCAAAAGCTGATTGTTTCTATCAATAATGTATTGTGCTTTTGTGAAAGGGGCTATTGGGAAATAGCTTTCAAACCAGTTAAATGCACTCATGCACGGCTGCGTATCCTGTAATGTCCCCTCATGATAGGCGAGCCCAGGTAGGCTAGGTTTGAGCTTTGTAATTGCTGGCTTCTTAAATTAAACCCAAGTTCAGCCTTGCACCATGCTCCCCTGCTGAGTTGTGCATCTTTCGAGTTCAAATGTGAGGTGATAAATGCTTGCTCTGCATGAGAACCATAACTCAGCGCACCTAAAAATGACAGAACCTGCAGCTTTCCAAAGTATGCTAGCAAGTGTGCTAAAGAATAGAGCGATATATGGCTGATAACTGTATGCTGGCGTGAGCAGACACTGAAGGAGAGCTGTATTTTTCCCTGGGCAGTGAGAGCCCAGGTCACATACTCGTATGATGTAGGGAGCGTGGGAGATCTGAACCAAGAAGTCAGAAATAATAAATGAAATTCCTTCCTGTCAGTGAGCACAACATCCAGCTTGCACGATAGGTAACTTGGAGGAAGCATCTTTTGGAAGCATGAGTTATGGTCTTCAGGAATCTTTTGGGCCTCATCTTTAATAGGACTCCACTTGAGTGATTCAGCAGTCACTACCTAGGTGACAGCACCATTACGTGAACAGACTTTGGGCTAAGACCAGCAAAGCCGTGACTTGCACTGGAGAAGGTTCCCCCCAGCTTTGTGAGAGTATGGACTGTAAATACGAAGGCTGGTGTTCCTTCCTCTTCGTTTTATCTAACCTAGCTTGCTCTGTGACTGCAATTCCTGAGATCGCTATGGACAGACAGAATCAGGGAAGAGAAGTTTAAGCTATTTTATCTATTCTTTACTTAAAAATGGGGGCTCGCCACTTATTTTGCAATGCAGGCCAGGCATCTGTACCCAGGATCACTGAGAGGAGGTATTGGTAGCTTGCTGCTTTTGGGTTACAGATCTTCGACCCTGGCAGAGCACATCGCAGCTTCAGGTGAAGGCTTCGTGTGCCAGAAGGAGAAGTAGTACCCCACTCTCCAGGGCAGGGAAGCGGTAGTTGCGTGTAGGACTGCTCCTACATCTTGCAGTGTACCTGCAAGGATACCTTTAGCTTTTTTCTTTTTAAGCCAGGCTTCCCTACCATTTTCTGTCTAAGCTTGTACAGTTCTTGGAATAATTTAAAGGCTTCTCTGGCATGCCTTAGACTCCTGTCATGAAGCACTGTGCTTTTCTGATGATGATGAATGCCTCTGCCTGTCAAGTTGTGTGCTTAACTCTTCCTGTTTCCTGTCGCTGCTTTCTCTTCCCAGCACATGCTGCCAGCGGATCGGGGCTGGGACCAGGTGAGGCAGTGTGTCTGCTGACTGTGTAGGTGGTAGATAATTGTGCCCTAGATAGTGCCAGCCCAGCTTCCTCTTCAACTAGCTAGAACCTGATTGGCATCAAAAGAATTTTCTCGGCTGGAATTAGCACGGGTCCTCAACTTGGAAAAGGGCTTTATAGCTGGCAGTGTAGCCACTGGCCCCCTCTTTCTTGGGGAGCCCTTTCAAAGAACTTTGTCACATTGCTGCTCATTTCACCTCCCCCAGGGGAGCAATAGGATGTGATAATACAATTGTCAGAGCAGATACAGATCACATGAGGTTCTTGGTACCTGAAAGCTGGAGGCTGGAGCTGAGCTAGTTTAGATACAAAGCATTCACTGCAGAAACTTAAGTCTAGCAGCAGGCATTGGATTTCCTTTTAGTTTTTCTTTATTTGCCATTAACGACAAAGGCAAGTGTTGAAATAACCTGTAGATATGCCATGGGGGTTTGTTTTGGTTTTAGCATGCTGGGAGTTGGTATCTTCAACTGCAGTGAGACATTTACGGAAACGTTAAGAGGAAAGCAGATCTGGTTTTAGCCAGTCTCTGTTGAAATGCTGCCTCCTCTTTAATATTAATAGTGTGGTATCCCAGCCCTCAAGGTCAGCCCATACTGGTCCTAGTCTGAGGAGAAACGCTTGAGTTCTTTTATGGGGATAAAGCAGAAACTCCAGTTCTCCTGAACCTACCAGTTAGAAGAACGTGAAAGCCTGTTGGGAATCTGAGTATAGGCCTAGATGCAGAAGTGGTTTAGGTATTCCCTGCAACGGGTGCAGTTCTGTCTTTGCAGAGCATCCTCTGAATTTTGTATGTCATGCAGCAAGACTGGGAACGTGACTTTGTGTCTTTGTCTTGATGCCTTGGGCCCTTCCTGACATACTGTTTCCAAGCTGTGTAACAAGCTGTATTTGTACCTGGTGTTACATGAGTCACTGACATTGAGCAATACTAAATCTGAACAGGTTAAGAAATTACTGTGAGAGCCATGCTCCAAAATGCAGCCTTGCCTTGGCAGGCACCCCAAGGTAACCAGGTCTCGTGTGCTCTGGAGGGAGGGTGCTCTTTTGGCTGGAACAAGCCTACATTTTGTGTGGCTTTTCAGTGATTCCTAAGCTTATCAAAGATAATTAGATATTGGAGCCCCGGCTTTTAGCTGAACAGAGTTGTCATAGCCTGAAAACTCTGAGCAGAGCCACCAGGCGCTGGTACTAGTCTTAAAAACATGTTTAAGCTTTTCAGGAAAACTCACTGAGTTGAACTAATGTGGTGACGAGGTTGCTGGTGGCCTTGTGCAACTTTCTAGTCAACCTGGACAGGTTACAGCCAAACGACTCACAGGAACATGGCAAAAATTTATTGTTGCCTCTTCAGTTTGGAAATGTCTGTGGGGTGCTGGATGCCAGCACTTCCCCGATAAGGTCTCCAGTGCCTTATCAGTTCTTCCTGTGAGAACAGCTCTTGTGCCTGCTCACACTCACATATCCTTCTTTTTCTCCCTTTTCCCTGCTCCATTTTGTGATGCAGGCCAAAGTTGCAGAGGAGTTAGCGGCTGCCACGGCACAGGTTTCCCAGCTGCAGCTGGAGCTGACTGCCCACCAGAAGAAGGAGATGGACCTGCGGACACAGCTGTCTGCCGCTCTGCGGGAGGCAGAGCGACACGAGACCCAGCTCAACAAACTGCAAGCACAGTTAGCAGGTAAGGTTTCTTGTGCCTGTTCCATGAGGAACTCCTCTGTGTCCTTCTTTTTCCTCGTTTATGAGTTGTAGGTTTTTCCCTTCTGGGGTATCTATTCCTGCTTTCCCTGGGATCGGTCACAAGGGTATCAAAGAAGGATATTGATGCACTGAAATGTCTGAAGGGTTTGTGCATCCTTGTTACTACTAGAAGGAAAGTGGGCTGAATCTGCGCAGAACGTCATCCTCTCACAGGGGTGCCTTTTGTAGAAGCAACCTCTTGGCATCACTATCTCACATCTTGTAGAGGAATCGGAGATGTTCCAGTGGTTGAGAAGTTAAGATAAAAGCTGAGATATAAGCATAGCCATTTCATGGAGGCAGCTCTTGATAAGTTCCCATTCCCACTGCAGGTCCAAGCAGTGTTGATTTTCCTTCCCATCAGCCCCCAAATGCACTAACCTGAAATACATGTAGCGCTGAAACCCACAGTAAAGTGTATTTTTGCAGAGCTCCAAGAAGCCTCTGAGGACACTCAGACTAGATTCAAAGCTGAGAAGCAGAGCCGCAGACAACTGGACATGAAGATTACCGCACTGGAAGAAGAGCTAATGGACCTAAGAGTGGAAAAGGAGGCTCTGGAAAGGGTACGTCGGGCGCTAGCATTGCAGAGAGGCAGGGTTTCAGCTGTTTGGTGAAATTTCACCCAACGTTCTTGCTTGTGGGTATGCAAGTTAGGTGAATCTTGACTCATCTGCAGGCAAGGATCCCCGTGCTGGTGGATCCTTTGTGCTTACGTGAAGTTCATTTTTTTTGTAAAATATCTTAACCAGTAATATGCTAACCTTTCTACCTATAAAATAAATCTCATCTCTTAGAGTGGTAAGATTCTCTGCTCCAGGAAGCTCTTTGTGCACGAGGAAGAGAAGCTACGTTGCAGTCTGACCTATTCTAAGTCCTGTTCTGTATTGCAGAATCTTGCAGAGAGGAAGAAGAAATCCCTCTCGGAGAGAGCTCAGGCAGAGGAAGACATGGAAGAAATACGCAGATCATATCAGCAGGAGCTGGACAAGCTTCGACAGCTGCTGAAAAAGGCACGGACTTCGACTGACCAGGCAGCAGCGGAGCAGGTGAGTAGTCGTGGGAGCTTTGCCAACAAGTGTGTGGAAGGCTTGTAGGAACCTACAGATAGGAAATAGTCCTGAAAACGTGCAGGTAGTGGAAGAGTGAAAACGTTACCTGCTTGATGTTAGGGGTTAACTTCAACACAGGGTTCACTGTGCTTTGTTTCTAAAATATCTCTGTTGGTGTTTGTTCGCCCTGCTTCTGACTTTGGGATTTACACTGGTGTGCCTCTAAGGAGGTGCATGGTGTGAGTAGTGGGGAAGGCTGCTAGGTCCCAGTCGTTCTCCGACTGGAATTGCAGGCTGCTGGCGTGGCTGCAGAGTTTTGGGGCAGCGGTGATGCAGGCTGGCACGCGGCAGCAGATTGAGACTGAGAGTGTCAGACTGAGGAAAGGAGAAGCACCAGCTTGAGTTTGTAGTAGAGAGGGGAATACAGGACTGCTGGTGAGTGAAAGACTGCTTCGAAATATGGCGAGAGATCTGAAATCTGAGCCAGACCTTTGGGCCAGCCTGAGGGCCTGTGGCTGGGATGGAGCTCGGAGAGGCAAGGGCTGCAGGCTGCCGTCTGCCCGTAGGGATTCCAGTCGGGGGCGGGAGGTGGTGTCCAGCCCCAGGCTTTCAGCCACTTGTTGTGCAAATACAGACTCTGTGTGTGTGTGTGTATGTTTTCCTAATGATCTCTCTTGCATGATGGGCAGCTGTCACTCATCCAGGCAGAGCTGGAATCCCAGTGGGAAGCCAAATGTGAGCACACGCTGGCCTCGGCCAAGGAGCAGCACGTTAGGCAGTACCAGGAGGTGTGTGAGCAGAGAGACTCCCTGCGGCAGCAGGTGTCCCAGCTGGAAGAGGAGGTAAAGGGCTGGTCCTGAGTGCTGAAATCTAATGCCAGATAACCAGTAACTGTAGCCAGCAAGTCCTCGCCCACCGAACTGCGGCTCGGCTTTTTAATTGCTTGACTGTTGTGGAATTTGGTCTTGTCTGTGGGATGTGTCTCTACTTGCCTCTGTTACGCTGGGTTGGTGGGCTAGTGAACTTGCTGCTGCAGTTCTGAATGAGGGAGAGCCAAGATGATGTCGGTCTCAGACTAAAGCAACAGCTACAGTCTCTTCTGGTTTTGAGCAGAAACTGTTCTGAAGTGGGTGACACAGGAAGGGGCTATGAACTGATGGGCTGTAGTTCTTGTCTTTCAGCTTGCGGCTCTAAAACACTCGAAAAAAGCAGAGGAGCAAAAATTGTCTGAGATGCAGCAATGTTTGGAGCAACTAGAGCCCATCAAAGAGAAGGTAAAGGGAACAAGACGGCAGCTGAATATGAGCTGGAGCGCAGTAATCACTAGCCTCAGGCTTCCCATGTCCAGAAGAACAAAAATGTGAGTTCTAGAATACTAGAGGGAAGGAATAACTTCACGTTGCTTCCGGCAAACCAGAGGAGGTCCAGTGATGGGACCCAGCCCGCATTTCACTGGGTTCTCGGTAACGCTATGCCCGTTCTTGGTGTTACTTGAAGAGCTGATGACACAGTTCAGGATCTCCGAGGGGTTCGGCTTGGTTGGGTATCTTTATTTTGGTGCTGTTACTTTCAGCCAAATCTTTTGCAACTCTGTCAAAGCCCTGCTTAAAACTGCACTGGGCAGTTTACCCCTCACTAAAAAACTGCTTACAGACAGCCCGTGCACTGCACAGTTCGTTGTGGCGGTGCCCGTGGAGCTGTTCCGACTTGCGGTTTCCCTTTGGCAGTGTTCGGCCTTGCAGTCGGATATGGTGGTGCTGAAGGCTCGCTATGAAGAGCGCATCCGAGGCCTGGAGAAGGATCAGGATGGATCTTCACCTGCAGACTTCACGGAAGAAGTGAGTATTTGCAGTATTTCTCCTTACTAAGCAATTCTATTCTGTTTGCCTTGAATTATTTCTTTTTGAGCAGAGATAAGAAAAACAGTATTTTCCTCAGAGAAGCACTGTGTTTTCAGTGGCAGGGTCTGTAGAGGAAGAAAGGATGTGACCTTCCTCCTGCCCACTTTGTTGCTTGATTTTTAGGTTAAAACTTAAGATTTGAAGTCTAGATTTGTAAATTGGAAGAATAATAAGAAATAAGTTTCATCTGCTTTGGGTCTGTGCAGCCTGCCTCAGTTTTGGAGGGATGGGCTTGGCGTGTGTGTAGTGGTTCTGAATTAAAGTGGTGTGGTGTGTTCTGCTTCGTTACTGGAATTCCTGATTTGAAAACCACGTGCGTGTGTTTGGGTTTAGCGTTCACTCACCTGGAGAAGTATCTGATCCCGAGTCCGGTGCGTGAGACGTTAATGACTTGTGTCTTTGTGTCCTGCCTTGCTCTTTTCCAGGTAAAGAAGATAATGAATGGCGTATTCCAGTCTCTTCGGGGTGAATTCGAGCTGGAAGAGACGTACAGCGGCAGGACGGTTCTGGGTGTTGTCATGAGCACTATTAAGGTACAACAGCAGTAAGAGAGCGAGGGTGGTCAGTGTGCGAGAACGAGTGTTGGGCTAAAGCCACGAACTGGCGTGGTGAGTCTGAAGTAACTGTGAAGCAGAAATTTGCTGTGGGTGGCAAAGCAGCCCAGCAGTGGATGATGATACAGGGATCGGTGGTGGTTTATGTTCAGGGTAAAACCTCCGTTCTCTGCTCAATTTTTCAGACTGTCACGCTGCAGCTGCTCGGCAGGCAGCAGGAGAGACCGGACCATGACACTAAAAAGGCAGAACCTGAAATGGGAGCAGCGAGGCAGGAGGGACCACTTGGAGCAAAGCGAGACCACGAAGAGCCCGTGCAGCACAGCACGTCTGGCAGGGAAGGCGAATCCGCTCCGCTGTCTGCCAGGCCCAGAACTCCCGAGGAGGAGCAGGTGACACAGAGCAGTGTGGTGTCAGCTGAGGAGAAGGTCGGGGGGGAGCAGCCCTCCTCCGTGGCTGAATCCCGGCTAGGGGCCTGTGCCTGCAGGACGGCCTGTTCCTGGGGCGGCTGAGCAACGGCAGGAGAGCAGTCCCGTCGGGAAGGCTGGGACTGAGTGCAGTCCCTCCAGAGCGTCTCCAGAGCAGGCAGAAGTTGCAGAACCTCCTGTCCTCAAAGCCAAGGCTGGAGAAGCGGATGAGGCAGTGATTCCGGAGCAGGAGGCAGAGGAGCTCTCTCCCTTAAACGGTGAGGGAGGGGACTGCGCAGACCCGTCGGATGAAGCTCGCTCAGAGGAGTCTGCTCCGGTATCCAGCACAGCAGAGCAGAGCTTGGCTGTCCCCGGAGACCCCCCAGGACAGCAGGAGGGGAGCTCTCTCCCTTAAACGGTGAGGGAGGGGACTGCGCAGACCCGTCGGATGAAGCTCGCTCAGAGGAGTCTGCTCCGGTATCCAGCACAGCAGAGCAGAGCTTGGCTGTCCCCGGAGACCCCCCAGGACAGCAGGAGGTGGGCTCCAGCCCGGGGCAGAAGGATTCCGGGTAAGGAGTGGGGGCTGGCGGGGCCGCCATGGCCTTT